TTTTTTAGCTTACTAGATTTTCCAAAGAGAGTTGTTCCAGAAGGAATTTGTGTAAGAAATGTTAACTTGCAGTGTTATCAGGCCAAGTCCTCTTCTGCAATTCAGATAGACCTGTCAACACTGCAGAAGTCTCTGTAGTCAAATACAAATCCCAATGAAGAACAAAGACCATACCTTAAGTATTTACTGATGACATGCAATGAAATCAAGCAAGCAGTAACAGGACTCCATTTACATTTGGAGCATTCAGAAAGAGACCGTTGCAGTTCAGTTGGGGTACAGGACTGAAATTTCACAAACACTTGTGAATAGTTAACATTTTCTCCCCACTTGACGCACAAAGTAACAGTTTCAAAACAATGCATCTAGGTCATTCTTTGTATAAACAAAATGCTAAGAGCAGAACCGATTTTCAGAGTTGCTGAACACTCACAAACTCACAGCAAGAAAATATACAGGTACATCTTGCAGTAAGTGGTCATTTTGTTTTCCTGCATACCCAGGTTTAGAAAAACAATTCCGTAAGAACTCTTTGATCACAATGAAACCCATTCTTCCACAGTGCTTTTCACCTCCCTAGGTTAGAAAGGCGTACCTTCCATTACCTAAGAGCTAACATTTTTGGTTTAACACATGCCAACCTGGCTTGGGTCTAAGCCCTAACAGTATCTTTAGGCTATAACATTTGGTGAAAGGCACACACTGAAGCTATGGAATTACATAGAGAAAGCACAGTCCTGACATTCTCAAGTGTTTGGATGCTTTTATGTCAAGGGTCTTTTTTGCAGGTTATATTCCTTTCATGAGAACAAGCAAGAATGACACACAAGCTTTGCTTTGGAGATATGTGTAAGTGCACGTCAGCTCTGGATGAGAACACGTCTGCAAGTTTGTCCATAAAAAACAAAAAAAAATTCTTGCAAATACCAGTCCTGCCTCAAACCATAAAGATAAGAGCAGCAGACCTACACAGATGGTATGTGTGCGTGTGCACAATGAGTCAAATGGAAATCAAGATACCTAAGAAGTCACCCTGCAGCACTGATCTTTGTAACTGCAAGTCTCTGGTGACTTCCTATGCATTCTCCTTTGCCCTTCCAGTTTCATAGAGCTGTCAGGTGCTCAGCAAGGAAACATTCAGCAAGGAAATACGGACATCACTGGCAGTGAGTTACTGTGAAGACATCGGTTAGCATTTCAGAGATGGCAGGGAGAAGACAGATAATACTTCAGCAAGGAATTATTGCTGTACCACTGAATTCTATTAAACTCAATAAGCAACAAGACATTAGGCCTGAGGCAGAAGAAAGGTTAATGGATATGACTCTTTTTTTCTTTCCAAAAGGCTCAGCTTCAGTGTTTTCCAACAACCTCAGATTCTGAATTCCAGTAAATTGTATTTTGGAACAAACCAAAAAATAGCCCTGAGACTAAACATACTTTTTAAGAGCTGCTATTGCTTTATGTAAATCAAACACAGCAATCATTTACTTCCACAGTATACAATACTTAATTTTCATTCCCTTTTTTCCTCACTTGGGATATGTACGTGCAACGAACAATTTCCTTCCAAGGTATATGTACTCAAGCATTATCTGTTACTTTTCCAAGCACTTAAACTTGTTGCTACAGGATTATGGCACCAAGCAAGGAAAGAATAGGTGAAGCAGGTCAAACTAACAAAGTCGTCCTCTTCCTTTATGCCTTGAGTTTTTAAAAAAAGGATTCCAATGGTCATAGCTGCCACCATGGACCTTCATTACAACAATGACCTCCTTCCTTGTGACTTATGTAGAATTTACAACTGGAGGAACGTCATTTTGTTTATTTCAGAATCAGCCACCAGCGTTACGGAACACTGCCACCAGCCTTTCAGTGTGGCTAGAAGTGTAAAATACCAAGAAAACAAGAGTATTAAGTGTGTCAAGTTGTGCATAAAAATAGACCTTCATTTTTCTTAAACTACAAAGTAGGCAATCAAGGAACTGACTAGGTCTATGCATAGTTAGGATTTAAAGTACGCCAAAAGAACTTGAACTCTTTGAGTACAACTGTGCTTCAGTAATGCATGGTCAACCCCCCAAAACACTGAATATCCCACTTTATACATAAAAGAATTTTAAAAAAGGTCCATGCACTCTCAAAGCTTTTTTGAAATTGATTTAAATACTTTATCTAACAGCTCTGCTATGGCACAAGACAGCACATAAAAAGTTTAAGGCTAATTTTTGTATGCACACATGTAAAAGCTGGTCTTGGAACAAGAGCTGTCGTATTTTCTTAGTTCTGAGTCTTTAGAGTGGATTTATAATAAAGTAGAGCTGCCACGGCAATAATAGAGTTGTCCTGCATATAAAAAAGACTGAATGTTGTCCTGAATGCAGTATGTTTTTATAAAAAGCAGAAACCTCACACATTTACATTTGGTTTTTATCAGAGCAGCTCACTAATTTGTACAGTACATTGTCCAATAACATACAATGTAAACTACCAAAGAGATGCTCAAGTACTACAACAACGGGTGCAAAAGAAAGTCCTAGGGTGAGAAAGCCCACTGCTATTTGGGAGAGTCACTCTGTGATGAAAACAAACATCAGAATGCAGTTTTGGTGAAGTCAGTTAAGTCTCAAGGCTGTAATAAAGGCTATTTGTTAACTTTAGCCCTTTGGTTCTTAACCATTCAGTTAAGATCTCCTGATAAAGCACTAGGCAGTTTGGCATTGATGGAGAAGCTCTGTACATGCTACTGTTACAGAAATAGAAAACAGACTTAGAAGCACTTCCTTCACCTGAATGTTCTGATCTTCCATGAATCCAGTCATACCAGGTTTAAACAAACCTATCTAAAGCAGTAAATTTTAGACTTCAAATTACACTGTAACTGTTTCAGTAGAAACTAATTAAAATCCACAAAAACCTAGAAAAGTATTATCCACTGGCCAAATTACACAAATTCAATGCACAAAGCCGCTTATTTTAAAACTCTGTCCCTCAACAACTTCTTCAGTGTAAATCAGCTGTTATTTCAAGACAGAGTTCTTTAGTCCCATCTGCACAATCCTGTCTATTTTTGATGGGAAGAAAGATAGTAAACCAAATTCTGCTTGCTTGCTAATTTAACAGGTCTAATATTTTAGTACTTCCTAGTACATTTTTCATTTACTGAATTTTTGTATAACGTTTTAAAAAGGGGTTCATTATACTATGAACACAGGACTTGCACATGCTAGTGTGATTTACACTTACTTGCTGAGTAAAGTACATTGCTATCAGTTATTTATGTAGAATATAAAGGAACAGTAAACGTGCACCAAAACTACGACTATTATCTGCACAGGTATGCAGGTGTTTGTTTTTCTTCCAAGTTAAATGCTTGCAACCAAATTTAGCATATTAAGCACTGAACAAAATTGTTGTATCTGCAGTACCACCTTTAAACAGATGCAGTTATGAGAGGACCTGAGTATGCAGTTGATCCATGGAAGCTATGTATATGCAAGCCACTGAGAACTGCTCATGCATAACAGACTCATTTGCAGACCCAGAGACTGTCCACAATGACACTTGCTTTGAAATTACTGAATCTAATTCTGTAAAAAAGGTACAAAGTCAACTCGTTTTATAAGTTGATATGACACTGGTATTCAGGTCACTGCGTTTTTTTGCATATCTATATTGCATTTAGTGAAACCCAAGTAATGCACTCCAGGAACACATGAGAAACCTCGCTGAAGTTCCTGGACAGCTTCCATTTGCAATTGCCTTTCCGCCCCCCATTTTAATCTTTTATTATAATTTCAAAGGAACCATAAACTGCTGCATATCAGGACAGACCAGGTACCAAAAAAATCCTGTTTTACATGCCAGCCTAAGTTGCCAGTCAAAAAGGGAGAACGTATCTGCTGCTGTAAACTTCTGTGTAACAGATACCATGCCTGACAAACCATCACCTTCAACAGACACAGAGTACACCACTATGACAAAAGGGAGGAAATCATGCACAGATATTTCAGTATTATGTGGCCAGGGTCTATAATACAGTGATGAGTCACATCAGAGCAAATTTGTGCCAAGAGTGATTAATGATTCAGGCTGACTAACTCCGTAAGTAGCCAAGCAAGCCTGTAAGAGGCAAGTGGCATATTTTCTGGAAGAAAGAATACCAAGTAAGAGGATAACATGTTTTTTCCCCACCCCTGCACAAAAATCCTATGGACAAATAGAACAACACTGGGGCAAGTGCTTTAAAATGCAATTTTCCATCCAATAAACCAACACTAGTGGGAATTCTGTGAAGGAAGGAGTTTTAAGAATGTGACTTACCTGAAGCACAAACTTCTGATATCAAAAAAATGTACACTATATACTAACACTGCTTTTTGGATACTCTTCTGTTTTAAAAGTTTCAAACATATTAACTTGTCTTATTTTGTTTAGGGCTGAGGCTGTTCAGCAAGGTCACATAATTTGAGACTGCTGAAATACTTCAGCAATCCTTTGGTCCCAGCAGCTGTAAAACAGCCAAGTAAAAAAGAAACTTCCCTATAGAAAAAAAAAAGAAAAGAAAGGAGGGGGGGAGGGGAGATATCATCACCAGGAAAGTGTCTTCTAAACACCATCTGCTACGCACCAGAAAAGGCAATTTTTTTTTGTTACAAAATACAAGTTTTCATACAAAAGACATCTTGCAAAACCATCTGATTGCCCCTCCCTCTGCAGATTACCATGGTCAATGGGATCAGCTGGTTGGTCTTAAGATTTTTGTTTTAATGGGAAAAAAAGTCAAAGGACACACAGCATCACAACAACTGGTCCTTTAAATGGCAAAGGATTATGACAGTCTTTGTTTTCACCAGTGTTTAAAAAAGGAGAGAAACAGACCCGGAGTCTTTTTAAGCAGGAAGTGCAACAGGGTATCAGCTGCTGCATCCTCCTGAACTTCTCAATGTGCTACCAAACTGTCGTTTATACAAATAGTTCAATTATGACAGTGCCATAACTTGTTAAAACAATGCAAATAGTGTGATCAGAAAGGTCCAGTCAACTGGTTCCAATTTTTTCCCAGTAGTTGCCCAGAACAACGTCAAGACAAACTAAATTTATCCTTCAGCTTCCTCAATATGTCCCGATTGCTGGAGTAGAGAGGTCTGCGGTATTACTGTACTCGTTCCACGGGAGATCCTGTCTTGATCTGTGTTTGTAGACAAGGAGGCCACAGAAATGGGCTGTAACAAACTGGGTGTCATGCTGGAGGAGACAGTCAGGCTGTGTGTAGTGCCCTTAAGTGTAAGATCCTGTGTGGGAAGAAGTGGCTTGAGGATGCTGACAAGACAGAAAGCAGAGCCACTTTTAGGAATGAAATTCACTTTGTTCTTGTCAGGGCAGTAGAAGGCTGGAATTTCCTGCAATGGCTTTGGCCTAGAAATAAAATACACAGAATAGTTTTAAAATTACATTGAACAATCAAATTCTGTCAATGGCAGTTATGTAAGGCTGAACACATCACCAGAGACAAGTTGAGGTTTACACTTGAAATATTTCAGCTACTCTAATGCCTTAATGATACTCACACCACACGGCAAATGGCAAGATGGTTTAAACTGCTTGTTTACATACACTATGAGATAAACAACATGTTCTTAGGGCGGACTGTTTCCAAACTCAAGGAAGACACTAACTTCACGTTGCAGATCACAAACCCTGTCCATGAATTGGCATATCCAATATACAAGAATGTATTCTTGACCACGTTCTCCAGAAACTTTCACAACCCAACAAGTTCTGCCCCACACACAGACAATCTTTGTACAGCAAGCCTTGCAAAAGAAAGCTGGCATAGCTATTTTCCTAATAATGCATATCTTAGAGCTGTTCATGATCACGGGGACATCCCCTTTTCTACACTTCTGCCTCTTTTGCATGTTCACCTGAGCGTGGCCTGAATCTCTGTAAAAGACGAGACCATCTTACTTAAAAACTCAGTGCAGAGAGTAAAATGTAGTATTCCCAAAGTGGCATTCATGATCAAATACCTAGAACCAGGAAGTGTGGAACACACATTTAGATCCTGACTTGCCGTTTTGCCATCTCAGCATATAATTCAACCAACTTGGAGACATGCTTTATGAAAGACAGAGCTGGAAGGGAAATTGTGGATAGCACAGGAAAGCCTTCTGTGTCTATCTCTAACCCTGCAATGTATGTCTACTAAGCTAGTATACTGGGTTTGCGTGGCAAGGTCTTGGTAGCGGGAGGGCTACAGGGGTAGCACTGTGAGAAGCTGCCAGAGGCTTCCCCGATGCCTGATAGAGCCAATCCCAGCCAGCTCCAGGACAGACCTGACACTGGCCAAGGCTGAGCCCATCAGCAACAGTGGCAATGCCTCTGTGAGAACATATTTAAGAAAGGGGGGGGGGGGGGAGAGGAAGAAAAAAACCTGTGCATTTGCAGCTGAAGACAGGAGTGAGAATATGTGAGAGGAACGGCTCTGCAGACACCAAAGTCATTGAAGCAGGAGAGCAAGAAGGTGCTCCAGGTGCCAGAGCAGAGATTCCCCTGCAGCCCATGGGGGTTAACAGTGGAGCAGATCTCCACCTGCAGCCTGGGGAGGACCCCACGCTGGAGCAGGTGGATGCCCAAAGGAGGCCGTGACTCCATGGGAAGCCTGTGCTTGAACAGTCTCCTGGCAGGACCTGTGGACCTGCGGAGAGAGGAGCCCACCACTGGAGCAGGTTTGCTGATGACCCCATTGGAAACCCACGCTGGAGCAGTCTGTTCCTGAAGGACTGCACCCCATGGAAAGGATGGACCCACACTGGAGCAGTTCATGAAGAACTGTAGCCCATGGGAAGGACTCACGCTCGAGAAGTTCATGGAGGACTGCCTCCCATGGGAGGGACCCCATGCTGGAGTAGGGGCAGAGTACAAGGAGTCCTCCCCCTGAGGAGGAAGGAGTGGCAGAAACAACATATGATGAATTGACTGCAACCCCCATTTCCCATCACCCTGTGCTGCTCAGGGGGAGGAGGTAGAGAAAAGGAAAAATCAGGAGTAAAGTTAAGCCCAGAAGAAGGGAGCGGTGGGGGGAAAGGTGTTTTAAGATTCAGTTTTTATGTCTCATTTCCCCAAGCTGAGACTGTTTTGCCCATGATGGTAATTGTTGAGTGGTCTCTCCCTATCCTTATCTCAATGCATGAGCTTTTCATTGTATTTTCTCTCCCCTGTCCAGTTGAGGAGGTAGTGATAGAGTGGCTTTGGTGGGCACATGGCATCCAGCCAGGGTCAACCCACCACAGCTAGTCTAAGAACAAAACTACGGGAATCTGTTCTTTTAGCTTCTCTTCTCTGCTGGAAAATAACCATCAGAATTTTATACTAATTTTTTCTTGTTGACAGCATTGTCCTTTAGCCTATAATCTCCTCTGCTCTTCCACATGTTTGTAAGACAGCCATATGCACTTCTATCTTCATTCTACTAGGCCAAGGAAGCCAATCCTTCAGTATACGCTTGTAGGAAATACTCTACTCTGAAAAGTCAGTCTGTTAATGAAATAGGGTATGTTTCTATGTTAGCTGATTCTCCAAGTGTCCAGAAAATTGAGCCCCATTTATAATTTTTCTCCCAAATTAAAATCCTGTAGACTTCAAATAAAAATAATGTTAAACAAAGGTTGAGCTTTAAATAGTTACACTCATGTATTCCACATACATGTGGAATGCAAGTACCAGATGTGAGAAAAAATTTTGCATGAGACTGCAGTGTCTAAGAACTGCCATAGCTAGGTAAAAACTCCTATAGAAGCCTGTTTCAGTCTAGAGCACAACAGTCCTACAGCTATGCAGCAAGGACATCCAAAAAGAAATGCAAACGCAAGCCAAATCACAATAGAGTATGTTCTTGGAGCAAGTGAAGACTGTCTAATCTGTTGGCAACATAGCTTACACACTGTAAAATAGGGACAGGTAACTTAAGTGACTAACATTTTCCACATTGCTATGGAGAGGTCATAGAGACCTCTCAAAATGTATCAGAGATGGAAACGCACAAAGGCAGCTATAATTTTTTTAATTACTACTTATACTAGATGGCATTGTTAAAATAATATAACTGTAAGAGAATTATAACCAAATTATACTCCTTGTGTCATGAAATGAAATTTTTAACTATAGGTTAAGATTCTTGCATCCAAGTGACATAAGGGTATAAAAGGTCTACTGAAAATAATAATAAAACATAAACCCCCCAGAATATTCCCAAATGACGAAAGATGGCTTCAGCAAACCATCAAATACTCAAGGTCAAATTCACTCCTCTGTCACTAAAAGTTTCACAACTTCATAGATGTAGCTGAAAAGAATATGGTCTTCAGAGTCTAGATTGCTGGATGTGCCTGTCAAGCTGTGACATATATTAGCTGATACACCTGCGTTACAGCTTCTTATTGCATCTCTCTCTACCTGATTATTTGAGTTTCTCCCCCACTATCTGCCAGGTAAGAGACAGTTCTCTCAAGTTATGATTGTTTTAGAAGTCTCTCAAGATTTTTACATGCATATAAACCAGTATAGAGTCACACAAAACAGAGATCAGGCTGTTCACATGGTTTTAGCAACAAGACTAATAATTTTGTTCTGACATATAATCAGTAAACCAACGGGTAACTCTGAATGTTGAATGTTATTTCTTACGTAGTAAAGATCAACTTACAAGCTTTCCTCAAAGACTTTCACCTTTTCACAGCCCTCTGGAGGTTCACGCTTGAACATGTAGCTGTTGTTGGGTTTTGGTGAGGTAGCATATTTTGGCAAGGGAGAATTATTCCCATTCTCTGCAGGAACAGAGTATCTCATTACTTAAACGTGTCACACTACTTAAAAAAAAAACCAAACAATAACTACCTTTTATTGCCCCCCAAATTGAAACCCACTTCATTGTCAATGTTATAAAATTAAGAAACATTTTTCATTCGCCTCCAACTCTTCATTTGCAAATAAGCTTTCTTATCTCAATCCCTCTCCTCCTTTCTATTTCTCCTTATACCACTTTCAGGCTCCTGCAATCTCTGTTCATTCCTGGACACTTTCAGTTTGTAACTGCAAACCTGAATTCTATGGGCAGAAGCCATGTTCCTTAAAAACCAGAACATGTTTATGCTGAATTATAAAATTATCCTAGAATATCTCAGAAGATTTCTGGTAAAAAAGAGTAATTGGAAAACCCCAAACAGTTAAACTGTTACGGGTGTGTGTATAAAACACTGGAAGGTTGCCCATTTTGTCTGAGATCATAAAAAAATAACAGACACAAACAACAGGACTAGCCTACTTTGCTGTTCCACCTGTCACTGTACACTCCTGCTTCTTCAACTTCCTTAAAGTACTTGACAGATCTATTATTTAAAAACAAAAACTTGTTTGGGAAGCACATTCTTCAGTCACATCTATCCAGCTTCCATTACAGAGCACTAGATACTAAATACACAGCATTTGGAGCAATTTGGAAAAAACATCACTTTTTAAAGAAAAAAAACTTCTACCATTTCACCATGGACGTGGGGAACAAATCCCCTCTTTTACTATGTGTTCATGCACACATCAACAAGTTAAATTTTAGCATTGTTGGACCTTTATAGTTACACAGTACCTTTATCTCTGGAATCAGCAAGAATATCATCTGTAGAACATGGACTTTCTTCACTGCCTTCGTTAGAGATGGTAAGAAATGAGGTTGGAGATACTGACTGGGAGCGGCTGCTGTTGTTACTACCCCTGTCTGCTCCACCAGGCGTTTGGGTATCAATGCTGCGAGTACTACTACTGCGCTGAACCAATGGAGGTGGTGCACGGTGCCCATCTGGAATTTCTTGAGGCTGTTAAAAATAAAAAGGTATCAGATGGCTGCTCTTGTCTGGTTAGCAATTTCTTTAAATCCAGTAATGCTGAGGGGGTTTTCGAGTTTTATAAAACTGTCTGAAGTAGAAAATGTTATTCATTACACAAGATTCTAACGTAAAATAAAATAAGTCAGGTTCGGAAACTAAAGACAACAGTTTTCAAGATTTCACAGAATCACAGAATTGCTGAGGTTAGAAGGAACCTCTTGAGATCTAGTCCAACACCCCTGCTCAAGCAGAGTCAGCTAGAGCAGTCTGTCCAAGACTGTGTCCAGGGAAGTTTTTTAGTATCTCCACAGACAGTGATTCCACAACCTCTCTAGGCAACTTGCTCCAGTTCTGAGCACCCTCACACATTTTGAAATAAATAAAAAATAAAAAAAGGAAAAGAAAAAAAGAAAGGTGTTTTTCTTGTGTTCAGATTGAATATAATGTTTTTTTAATTTATGCCCACTGCCTCTTGCCCTGTCACTGGGCACTACTGAGAAGATTCTGGCTCCCTCCTCTTCATTCCTGCACATCAGATATTTATACATGTTGGTAAAATCCCCCTGAGCTTTCTCTTCTGAAGGCTGAACAGTCCCAGCTCTCTCAGCCTCTCCTCATAAGAAAGATGTTCAGTCCCTTAGTCATCTTTGTGGCCTGTATTTCTGATACTTTGTTACTAAATTTACGTCTAAAAATACCTAAAAATAAAATGAAAGTTAAAAATGGACAAGTTATGCTTCAACTGCGGTGGGGACAGTTCAGCATGGGCAAGGAAAAGAAATAGTTACCACAGAAACTCTCAAGACAGGCCTTCTGTCTTTTCCCCCGTTTTACTGAGATTTCTTATTTTATTGGAAAACTAATTACATCACAGTATCATAGAGGAAAAGGTTCAGATTTAAGCTTTAACTTTTTCCTTCTTTTGGCTTTCCAAGAGACTTTTCAACTACCTTTATTAAAGAAAGCAAAATTAATTCCACACAAATTTATTTCAAAACCTGTGCAAAATGAAATTCATGACTTAAAAACCTCAAAGCAAACCCAAAATAATTACAGAAAGTAATCATGGTGGCAGATACATACAACAAGCTGTTCCTCTTTGTCTCCCGTCTCCTTAATTATTATCTCAATCTCCTGATTCAGTCCTTCTACACTGTTTCGGAATCGTGATCCTGTTGATTTGGTAATAGGTATCACAGGAACAAGAGCACTCTTTGGAATGGGAGCCTGAAGAACCAGAGACAGTGAGAAAGCAATGTAGATTAACTTCCAAAACACAGTTACTATTTCTACTCAAAAGTGAACCTTTAAACAGAACACATCACCTCGATATCAAAGATTTACATGAAACTACAGCTATTGTGTTAAAATGGATGCCTTAAATGAAGACAGACATCCTGAATTTTGTTTCAAATCTAATTCCTAGCAGGAAAAGCTTTCAACAACCTAGTCTTAAAAATTTCCCTGCTATGGTCTGCCTCCAGCTCGACTCTGCTTTACAAGTGAAAACTGCATAGTAAACATTTAAATGTAATTTTGAAACCTTTAAAATATATTCACATTCCTCCTGAAGTGAGCTGTACAACAACTTAACTTCTTTCACTGTCGGATTTACCACTTGTAATTTCATTAAAATTATGTTTTAATGGAAGTCTGCTGACACCTACAGCAATGTAACACATGCAGAAGGAAAATTATTCCAGAAATGCAAAATTGCACTATGCTAGAAATGAAGACCAACATAGTAACTATATTAGGCCAGAATAAAAGGTTGACAAGACATCTTAGGAAGACTTGCACAGAAAGAATAAAAATCCCCAACCCAAAAGTTAATACATAGTTGCTTCAGAATGAAGATTAACATTTTAAAAATCCAGTGTTTCAAAGTATGCGTGAAGACTCCATTCTCAGAAAACACATTACTGAAGTTTTCCAAAGCCCCTTTTGGTACACCACAACTTCTCAAGATTTCCCATCCTCTCCATTAGAAACCTCCCCCTGTTAAAAAATCATGTTACCAGAACATTAGAAGATTGTGCCCTCAACTTCAACACAGAGTCTTGGTTATTATGCAGGGCACTACTACAGATAATGGAATGCTCCCTGCATCAAAGAACAGTATGACACAAAGTCACAGTAGAATTCCTGTGTAAAATTCCTAGACTCTATGGCCTAGTGTGCTGTGGTTGAGAACATCTCCTCTACTGATTGAAGGACAGTAGCATTCTCACCTGGTCTTCAAAGCAGTTTGTGGTTTTGGTTTGGTTTTTTCTATTTTTACTCTAAGTAACAAGACTATGCATAGACAGACACCAAAGCATTACAACTTCACATGTGAATTCTCAAAAACCACGCAGAATTTGTCTGACAGAAAAACTACCTTAGAAAAATTAATGTAAACAAGAGAATTCCAAGTGCAGATCATAATGCAGACTTACTCTCATAATCACAGATCTCTAAGGTGGCAAAACTTACGAATTATATTGGGTTTGCTTTACTGAAACATTAGAACAGCTAACTACAAAAGCTTCTGTTTAGGAAATGCTTCTGACTCTGTTTATGTCAACAAAAACTAAACAGTCTCATAATGGCCAAACTTGAAAAGACTTTGAAAACTCTTTCCTGAAGATGAAAAAGAGAAAACAGAAGCCACTGGAGAAGTGCACAAAAAAAGCCTGAGAAAGCAACCCTGCTAATTCCGTTCCAAACAAGGCCTTGGATCAACAATCCAGTAAACTATTACAGGTCAATATCCAGTCATAATACAGGTATACCAGCACAAATTCAGGCACTAACAAAGACTGTTTATGCACCCAGTTATTAAACATACACATTGTTAACACACTTGTTAAAAAGCAGAAATCAGAACACAAGTACGCTTGTCTAAGATTTCAGCATCCATTAGCAAAATGTGAGCATTCTCCCATCTTTTAAATATGACTGCCTACCACAGAAACTCTTAGAATCATGCTACTATTTGAAGAAGTTCAAAGTAGAAAAGCGTAAGTTGCGCCAATAGAGTTCCTTATGGCTCAATACAGAATGTTTAACTTCCAAGAGAAATAATATTCTGTACATGAATGAGGATGACTTGTTAACCTGGAATGCCAGAGGGTGGAAAGGTAAGGAAGTACCATTACAGGGGTGGAATGACCAGCATTAAGATACAACACTTTGTATTAGAAATATTGCCTTCGCAGAGATCTGCATTGAGCTGGCTCCTTACATACAGGAATAGGCGACCAACCTTTGACTGCTCATCTGCATATTGGGAATGCACAAAATGAAGCAAGGTGCCAAAAACAAGATAATAATTACAGTGCTCACGTAATAACACACTGTCAGGGAGTTTTGGTGTAGTACAGCAAGAGTCCTGAAACCTACAGATATGGCATAAACTCGTGAGATATGAAATACGGGTGATGACAAATCTAAACTGTTCACAGGCATTTTAGAAAAATGCTCTCTAAGCTCTTCCAATTTTTCAACAAGCAACAGAAATTTAACTGGAATCTGATATCTTTTTATGCTTTCCAATATTAACATCAAACCATCTCAAGGTTGAACGCATCATGGTAATTCCACTCCAAAAGTGGTATGTCCTACTTATGTAAGGTGGTAAGAGTGACACACACACACACAAAAAGCCACTGCAAACTGCATGCAGTTGATGTCAATATTAGTGGTTGCTTAAGATCAATCAACTGGTAAGACATTAAGGACACATGCTTCCGAGGAAAGTGAAAAGAAGGGGCTTGATGGTTTATAGTGTCAAGCAGCAAGTAACATCAGCCAAGTGCACTGAGGAAAAAAAGATTATTTTGGTAGACTTAATCCATTTATTCTTGCATCTGTCTTCAGCTCTGGCCTCAATTCTAGTTTCTCCATTACATTAACACTGAGAGTAAAGGAAGATCCCATTGGTTTGACTCCTGTTTACAGATTTAGTACCATGCAATTAATTCAAAATCCAACATTCTCAGAAGCATCCTGAGATCACCTGAGGGGGCTATGACCTTCCTGCAAACCCTTCTTCCTGCAAAGAGAGGCAGAATGGAACATTTCTGGCATCACAAAAAAACCCAACCAAACAAAAAACATTCAAGTGCTCTGGAAAAAAAATGTAGTCAGCAAGAACTTGATCAAATTCCTCACCAGCTACTTCCTGATTCTGAGTAGAGGGACAGGAATAGCTAACAAGTTTATCGCATAGAGGTTGTGTGGATTTCTTTTCTTCAAACAAAAATCATAGTAGAACGAAGCACAACTAAACAATCAGTTAGAGGCTTAGGTGGCAAGAACCACTGTAAAAATTTTGGTAAAACTCAAGAATTGTAGCAAAGCTTAAGTGTCTATTAGTAGGGAAGGAAAGAGAAAATAAATCCAACGGAATTACTTCTTTTAGTTTTAACCAGAAGAGTAAGCCACTTCCAAAACGTTAAACAGAGTTTATCTAGTCTCTGTGAAGGATTACAGAGACAATTCCACAGAATTATAGAATTGTTTAGGTTGGAAATGACCTTTAAGAACATAGAGTCCAACCATTAACCTAACAATGCGGGCCCACCACTACCCTAAGCACCACATCTACCAGTGTTTTGAATACCTCTAGGGATGGGGACTCAACCACTTCTCTCTGGGCAACCTGTTCCAATGCCTGACAACCCTTTCAGTGAAGAAATTTTTCCTAGTATCCAATCTAAACCTCCCCTAGCACAACTTGAGGCCATTTCCTCTCATCCTATCACTTGTTACTTGGAAAAAAGAGACCAACACTCACCTCACTACACCCTCCTTTCCCATGGTTGTAGAGGGCGATAAGGTCTCCCCTCAGCCTCCTTTTCTCCAGGCCTAACTACCCCAGTTCCCTCAGGCACTCCTCATAAGACCTGTGCTCCAAACCCTTCACCAGCTTTGTTGACCTTCTTTGGACACACTCCGGTGCCTCAATATCTTTTTTGTAGTGAGGGGCCCACAACTGAACACAGTATTTGAGGTTCAGCCTCACCAGTGCCAAGCCCAGGGAGACGATCATTTCCCTAGTCTTGCTGGCCACACTATTTCTGATATAAGCCAGGATGCTGTTGGCCCTCTTGGCCACTTGCACTCACTGCTTGCTCGTATTCAGCTGGCAGTCGACCAATACCTCCAGGTCCTTTTCTGCCGGACAGCTTTCCAGCCACTCTTCCCCAGGCCTGTGGCATTGCATGGGGTTGTTATGACCCAAGTGCAGGACCCTAGCACATTTTCTCGGCCTTGTCAGGAATCCAAATCATTGAGCTCAGGAATCTTTGTATGACCTTCTAGAGTCAACAACTGCAAGTTTCCTTCAAGTTGGGAATGTAAAAAAATTTCTAAATATTCTAATCACTAACTGCAAGTGTTTCCACATAGTCCTTCCCACAAATCCTGAAGGAACTGAGCTGCTGCCAGAAATTCTAGTTTAGCAGTTCCCTAGAAAGGAATGAGAAAGCCTAGGAACTTTGCCCTTGATGCCTACAGTTACAGATTTTCACTCTGACATAGAAAGCAGCCTATAAATGCCATTAATCTAAACTCTTCACTTACCTGTCTGAAGCCTTCTGTTACTTACTCCCTTCACAAGTAGCTCGACATAGCTGGCATAAAATTTCTCAAGAAAAAAAAATGAAGAAGCTTCTCTGCCTCAGTTTATATTTTATAGTCTGTTTCACAGGCCCCAAAACTAATTCTGTTGTGCAGTATTTTATTCAAGTACTCTAAAATTTGGCAGAATGCAAAAGATCTCCATAGAAGAAGCAAAAGTCCTTGAGCATAATAAAGTAATTACGATAAAAAAAAATTCTATACATGATTTGGGTGTGTATGTATGTATTTTTCAGAGTAGTAGCATCACTGTTCGTTTTAAGATTTAAAACCAAATAAAATTATCTACATTACAGTGAGAATAGTTTAGCATTCAGAAACCTACAGGTTTGTGGAATACCAAGCCAAACCTGTGAGACTGCATGTAATTCTCCGTAGTACTGAAAGAGCTACACCAAGAGTTCCTCAGTACAGTTTTTTTTGGTTGAAATGCCTCAGCTGCCCACAAGTACAGAACAAATCTTCAAACAAATTCTACAAATCTGGATAAAATGCCTGCATCAAGTATTTTGACTTTCTAAAAAAAAAACAAAAAACAAAAAACAAAAAAACAAACAAACAAAAAAACCCTGTGTCATCAATTTTCATAAACTTTCTCAAAAACCCCTAGAAGGTGATTGAGTCATTTGTCTTTCTTCCACCATTTTGGACTGTTCTGACTTGAGCAGTCACTAAGATAAGCAGCATGCTACACTGCACCCATACTTCAGTAAAGCAGATCAAAATGTAGGAATTTGTACTAGACAGCCTGTTTCAAACTCAAACTGTTCTTCTGCTATACAGAAGAGGAGGAGGAAACAGTTTCTGGTTTGAGATTTAAAGAGTTTGAAGAAGTAATTCCTAAATTGTTGTCAAAAATGTAATTTAAAAAAAAAATCCTAAAAATACTTTTAGTAGCACAGAATTCAAACTAATAACAAACTGTATTCAAGAGGCACTTACGTCCTGAAAATTCATGATTCTTTAATTTAATTAACTACAGTGGGGGTAAGTTAGAGTCTGAGACAAAAGATGCTACTGTTTTTTATACATAGTCAGAGTTAGGAAGAGCAGTGCAGGAGAAATTCAAAACACTGTTCTACTTTCTGATTTCCAGTCTTGAAGTGCAAGAGATTCACTCACACCTGTCTTCTGTCTATGAAAGAATTTGGCTGCTAAGGGCCGTATGTATCGTTCTCCCTTCTACATTTTATTTCGTCCTTTATCAGAACGGGTAAGTACCTGTAGAGCAGGACATGTGCTGATGCACAACAGCTTCCCTCCCTGGCCTAAATTATTTCCAGAAGGATGGAATGACAGCAAGGAAATAGTTTTCATTAACTGGTATCAAAGCATGATATTTATTAGACAAATTCTGACTGCATTTCAGGAGTAATTGGGAATATGATTAGATTTGCAGAGAAGCTTCACAGATGAAGTACCTTCCCAATTCACAACACTGACAGTTCCACAATTTCTTTCAACTGCATTGACTTGCAAGGCAATCATGAGGGATTCATTTTTTTTTGAAACTGTTAGAAAAATTGTGTGTATATTGTAAATACACACTCATGAGATGCTACTGGGGGGGAAAAAGTTTCTTCTGAAAAAACTACCAAAGTTTCCTATTGGTTTTCTTAAAGTTACTCAAGCAAAACAGACTTGAAAAAGGATCTGTGTGTCTAAAAGCCTGTAATTTTTTTCCACCTGCTATCAATTGAGCTAAAAATATTACCACTCTGTGAACCTGACCTCATTAACAGTCTTGAGATAAAACTAAAACTGTACACAGAACATGTGGTAGCCTAATCATCACAATTTTTGAAGTGATTACTATTTAAAGTCTCAAGGCATGATAAATGACAGGAAAAAAAATAATCTTACAAAGGTTGAATGAAACCATCAAGAGTATAAACACTTCTAACAGAGTACGTAAAAATCCCATTGAATAGCCTTTTGTCAGGTAAGCTCTCTAAATCAGTTCATCATAGGATTAGACAAGTGCTATTGTCAAGACACAAAAAGTGATCAGCAAAAACGACAATTTTGAGTGTATAATTTTACCACCAATTTGCTCCATGCCATATTCTACATGCAAATTCATAATTGTTACAGCAATGCGTAATGAAAAAGATAATTATGGTTTTAGATTAAACTTACCTGTCATGCTTTTGTAAAGCCTGCAGAATGCACTTTAAGAGTCTTGCTTTAAGGAAGGATCTAACTATGTGAAATTCTTTGAAAGTGGGAGTTTGAAGCCAACCCAGCCAAATAATAAAAAGATCCAGGACCCCATACACTCGAGGAAGTCAAAGGAAACAGATCTGTTTTATAGAATTCACCTACAGCTACAACACATTTAGCAGTATGTGGTATTTCTAAGTACCCTTTAAGGCAAGCCATAACCTTGAAAGGAGTTAAAAATAGTATTAGCTACCCAACATGTCCAAAAAGCGCACAGCCTTACCTGACTGTGGTTAATGGCTGCATGGTTACCATGAAATGGAGACTGTCTTTCTTTATCACGATGATGCCTACTGCTGTGCTTGCTTCTCTGCAATTGTTGACGCAATTTTGCAATCTAATAAAGGAAACATTCACATTAGATTTCACCAGATATATTCAGGTACACATGTAGTTTCATCAATTTTTTCCATCACTTAGTTGAAATTCATTACTACCACAATGTTCATAATTATCACCAGCACTAAATTAGACTTACATTCTCGCAAACCTAACATGTTAGCTACCAGTTCAGCTGGAGCCCAGAAGATTCCTCCAGAGACTTAATGAAAGAACTTGAAATACATAAAGTTTGAAAGTAGTTTGATCACTGCTGTATTTCCTCCTTTGATGAACAATGTCACCTGCATGTGACACTTTCCCTCCCACACATTCAAATTAAAAATTTCAATAGTTCTGCATTATATGAAGTCAAAACCAATGCGCAGCTATTTCTTATTTTTTATCAACTCACAATCTGTATAATAAAACAAAGCAGTACAATATTCATGCCTTCCTGAAAACTCACAGTAACAATGCATACCAGTAAAAAACTTAATCCAAAGTTATCTCAAATAATAGCATTTCTGACCTCCTTGAGCTGATCATTGCTGCCCCATGATGCTGAACGTTTGTGTGAGCTTCTCTTCTTTTCTAAATATTCTTCAGCCCAGGCACTTTCTGTCTGCAGCAAGAAGATTACAGGATTAACAAAAAAAAAGGTAATTCCTACTTTCAGGCAGAATATTTTGAGACAAATTAGAAGAGAGAACAGTGTTTAGATTTGCTAGATTCAGAACTGTGAGTCAAAAGCAGTCACTGACCAGAAACCTTTCTAATAAGTAAATTATGAAAAAGTGGAGTGGAACTATGTGATTTAAAAACCAAAAAAACCAACAAAAAACCAACAACAAACCCAAAACACAACATAACCCCCCAACTTTCAGACCTACTCTAATACAGGAATGTGCTAGTTTCCCTTCCAAATTACTGAGCATAAGGCAGTATTAACAGCCAGGTGTACAACAAGCTGCTATAGTGTTCTGAAGAACCAGTACGACAGTGCTGAATTTGGGGGAGATGGTATCTTATTTCCTGCACAGATGCTGACCTTGTTATTTCTGATGCATTAGCAAGGGTAGCTTGGTGTAAACATTGCGAAAGCCTGCACCAGTACAGCTTCAGCTTCAAAATCATGTTCTGCTTCAGAAGAATGAGAAAAAGGAAGGCAAGGCATATACGCAACACTAGAGCTATTGCAAAGCAGGGAATTAATTTATTACCCCTCAAAGGGCTCCACATTCATGGTTGTCTCAGGGCAAGCAGAAAGCAATGCAGATAATAATAGTTTCACAAAACCAACGAAGTCATTAACATTTAATAAAGAAACCTGCAAACATACTGCAGTGAAAAAGTTCTGAGAAAATTCTAAGTATCGTTAAGACAAACTGTATTTATTGAAGGTAACAAAATGCACAGGCAAGCCTGTGATAATACTGCATGCTTTATGGACAGTTTGTATTCCCACTTAACCATGTCTAGAACGGCCTTCAAAAGCAGTGAAGTGTAAAGGCATGAATAAGAGGGATAATAATATCCATCAGGAATCTCCACGCAGTCACAAGAAATATACCTAATGAAGCAGGGGGAAGGATTTCTGGAAGCAGCTTACACACTGAAAGACACTGAACTCCTTTAAACTCACTGTTGCCACAGTGCAGTTCTTAGCATGCAGCAGTGATCTAGCTAACTCATCCTTAGAAGTCATTGATATCTCACTTTCTCCTACAGGCAGGAACTTTGCCTCAAAGCCTTCACATCTACATCGTGCAACAGTTGTTCTCACATTTGAGACCAACAGCTTGCAAGCCACAAGCTGACCTGACTTACCCCGTCTGTACACAGAACATGGAAACTCACAAGGCCTTCAATGATGTGGTATTAATCCCCATTTTGCAGGGAAAATGGAGATGCAAAATCAACCATCCAGGTTGCAACTCCTATTGGCTTCAGTTACAGACACAAATTTTGGATAAATTAAACCTCCACCACTATCAGTAGTTTTTCATCTTCATCATTTCATCATTGCCATCTCTTCCCAGTCTGCTTCCTGAATGATTCTACTTCCTATGCCATAAACGCACAGAATCAAGATCCCCTGCTTAGTCAACTTGAAAATCTTTTATATCGTAATAGATTCAATTCCTGTTCCCTAAACTTTTGAAATCTGAACACATCAATTTCACATCAGACTTTGTGAAATCTGAAATTACACACTGGAGCCAGAATATCTTGTAAGTGAAACTTCATCCAAAACACCCCATCTTCAGAAATGCTAAACAATACAAATGGAGAGCCTATACTATCTTGGAAAATTAACTATTGTAAATCACATTTTAAACTTGTCCCAGTGGTTGCTCAAATGGTTGCTCTCAAGCACACCAGAAAGATTAAAAGCAACAATGTCTCATCAGTGTCATATCAACACAAGCTTTGGACGTACAGATGTATGTCTGTAACCCAAAATTTTCTACTGGTTTGATAAATTTTAAATTAGGAAGTGCAAACAGATCATTATTGTTTCCCTCAACAGTATATTAAAGCCAATCACCATTAAATATACCCATTCTGCAGAGATATCCAATGCCTTTTACCATCTTCCCATTAATCTTTGCAACTATGTTTCCCCTTATATATGAAAGCCCCGCTACCATAGCAGCTAGATGTGTCAGAATTGGAAGAAAAAGACAAAAGAAAAAGGTAAACCAAAAAGGATGACATCTAATCTAGCTGTAAAACACACATATTATAAATGCCCAACCATGACTCAGATTAAACCAAAACTAAGTTGAAACAGATCAACTGAATATAGCAAATACTTTGGTGGTAGTATAGAAAGATAATTATTTTGAAAAAAGTATTATCCTAAGAAATCAAATATGAAAGTAAATAGCTAAGGCACCCACACTGGTTTAGTTCTGGCCTTTGATGATGCCTTTTAATAGCTAAGTGTGAACAGCAATTCCTTGTATATCATACGCCTTCCTTCATCCTCCTCTTCTTACCATGATTTGCTTACCTTTTTCACCCCATCTTCTAACCATTTTTCTGATTCGTTTTCCTGCACAGAAAACTTGTTCCTCAGCTCTCTTTCTTCACCAGTTTCTATTTCTTCTTTATCCACACAGGCATATTCCCCTACAACACACCTCACTTTTCTAGTGATCTGCTCTTTGAATCGTGATCCTTTCTGCAAAACGTGGATCTTGACAAGGCTATACACTAACAATCAACGCTGCAGACATCACCTGCTCAGCATCCTACACATTTGAGTAGATAGCACACTTCAACCTACGTGGCCACATTTTTGTCAATTTTTACCAAACCTAAGGCAGGCTCAAACTCAAGTCTGTCCCACATGCCATCGGTTTCTCTTCCAACTGCATTTTGCTTATGTTCTTTGGAATTGGTGGAGACCTTTTGTTGAAACCATGCTCTAGAAATAGGGATTTAGAATGTGATCTGTTTGGCTCCTTCTTTCACTCTACAAGTTAGAGAAATCCACTGCCAGACTGCATCCACAGAAGGAGAAATCCAACACTGGGATATTTTATGGAAAAATCCAACTTGAATCACTTCTGCTTACAGTGGGATGCCATGTAACAACAGCTCCCTTAAAGGGGAATGACAAAACAACATCATGGTAAGTGTATAACTTGTAATGCCAGTTTCATTCAATTGTTTGTTGGTTCTATCTTTACGGGTGGCATACAGTGACTGAACCATTAGAAGTTTGAGAAATTTTGTCAAGTTGAAGTTTATTGGCAAATCGTGTACTTTTTTTTAATACTTTCCAGTTGAGCTAAATTTGAACATCATTCATGGTTCAATGAGGCAGCTCTTCAACGTATACAATTCTATATTTGGTGCATAGATCCCAGGTGTATATTAAAGGCCTTTTACGATCAGAGGATAAACAGCCTGTCATAGAAAAGGTTACAATAACTTTTATACAGGCACTACAGAAGCTTTTTTACTCAGCTTTAAGACAGACATACGTATAAGGAGTCACTAAGTCCTCTTTTATAAATTGAAACTAAATAGTACTTAACAGCAGTGCAATCCAGTGTACTGCACACTGCAAGAACAATGAGAAAACAAATGTGCAATATACTAGTGTTTTTATGAGGCAAGAAGAAAGTGGAACTCTTTAACAGATATTACAGTTCACAGCCTTTTCTTAGAGAAGAATGCAAATAATGCACATACATAATAGCAAAGGTAGGATTCCTGCAATTTGAAAGTGAATAGGAACTTGCAAGCAAGAAAGCCAAAATGAATGTTTTCAAGGGAAAAGCTTCTTACATTTAAATTCTGCCTTCACATTTAAATACTCCAAAGACAAAAATCTGTCCTACCTGTGTGGCTTTGTCTCTCATACATGGAGCAGCTTGTCCATGATTATCACGAGGCCACTGTCCAGCAAGGTATGGAGCAGCAAGTGTATCCAGTGAGGAAGTTCGACGAATAATACTGGAAGGGCTTGATGAAGGTGGTCTTGATTTGTCAGCTAGAATAAGAACACTTGATTAGAAAGAAAGCAAGACAGAGCGCTTAATTATTTTAAATTGCCTACAAGAAATAATATAAAATCAGAACTACTACGTTATTAAGTATATGACAAGATACTTTTAATATAGGAATTAAGTTTGCTTACTAAAACTGAATAAAGCCTGGAAAAGCAATGAAGTGTGTTTTTATGGTTTCCTTAAAAACATCCTTATGTCACAAACGTTGCACTGGTACTCTACACCATCGTTTATTCCCTCAAAGGTGCGAGTCATTGGATTCTTAATGAGGAAACTTTGCTATTTTTATTTCTTCCAAGCCTTTATCATCTGTAAAGGCTAACAAAGAAAAATCTCTGCTGAACTTTTTCAATTTAATGCAGAGTTTAGAGTTCATCCCACTAGCCCTTTACCTACTTTAATTCAAGGGACACTACGTACTGACATGTTTTATTAACCATCCAGTATACAATATATAGCATATTCACAGAGAGTTATGTCTAACCCTTAGATCCAGAAGTCAACTTTGATAAGGTAATGATTTTCATTTTACAAGATAATCAAGACATCTCCTCCCTTTACACTACGCCTCCCCAACACTACGCCTTCTGCAACACCTCCTTTGTTGCTACTTGGTAACTACATTCACATTTGCCCAACACTACGCCTTCTGCAACACCTCCTTTGTAGTGTTAACACTGATACCACTTTTCAGAACAATTTAGACACTAATAGGAACCCTTACAAAAAAAGATTAAATATAACAAGCACAGGAAGTAACATGAGAAGGAAGAATAAGGTTAAAAACAAAAATTTACATCTATCCCATCCATCAATGATAAAGTGGCAGTAAAAGACTACACTGCAAGCTAATAAATGTAAACACTGTGAAGAAAGGTTCCTCAAAATAGTAATTGAGGTTTGTTAAATTAAAGAGACCGACAAGCAGGAAAGACCCAAGGTTTACATGTACATATATGCTCACACATTATTTGTTACTAGCTATTCTAGACGTAAAATGCAAATCCTGAGATCACAATGATCTAAGCTTACTATCAATTCATCTACTCCCCACAGAATTATACCTGAAAGAGCTGCGTATTAATCTTACCTATAATGAATACAAAGGCCTAAAACAAATGGCTAGAACGCAGCAAACAATACAGAAATCAGATGGAAGCTTTACAAGGGCACTGGAAAAGCTCAGTCATATGTCCTTCCTGACCATGCCTTGGGATGAACTCTGCACTAAAAGTATAAATAACATAGCAATTTTTACTCTACACAAACTCATTTGTGGCCAAAGGAAGTTCTGCCTGATTAGTGTCTGACTGCTAGTCAGAAAATAAAAACACTGCCATCAAAAGTCCAGAATTCAATTTCTAAGGCATTTCAATCTACTAGAGATACATAAATATTAATAAAACCTGTTAAGTATAGATTTCAGTGGTGTGGACAACATCTTAGCCTCATAGAACTATACTAAATATCCTCATGCAAATTTTGCATTAGAAATTTACACATTAAAAGTGTGGGAAAGATTTCAATTCAACTATAAGGAAAACATTATTAGCACTACAGTCAGCCACATTCACATAAAGCAGTCCAGAAACCTCATCTGGTTCATTATTTCTACTAGTACCAACAATGATCAAATCTTACTACTGAGCTCACAGCAGATCTGCTCTCAGGGAGTAGCAGCAAAGCTCAATTTTGGAGTTACCATGCACTTAAGACCCCTGTATCAAAGAAATTCTCTGACTACTGCTACCACCATACAGCACACTGAAGGCTCTGTTTGTATCAGAACATTTCAAAATGATTCCTTTTGTCTGTACCATGGGAGAACGTGGCATGCTAATGCAACATGTCATTCCTTAAAAATTACACTTGCTTACAAAGTTACATCAAACATGTTATATGTCTCAGAAATAGCTGCCATACTCTCTGTATTAATTTTTCTTCTCTTCAAAAAGCTTCTCTCTTTTTACCAAGGGGAAACAGAACGGATGTGGAAAAAAAAAAAAAAATTAAAAATCAGGAAGTGTATGTAGTCAGTCACATCATCTGCAAAGCCACTGCAGCAGACAGCTTCAAAACTGAAGTGGCAGAAACTATTACCCTCTCCCCTCCCTCCACAAAACGAAGTGGAAAGAATATTTTGCTGGGCAATCAGAGAATGAAAACTGAAGAGCCTGTTTACTGTTTAAGTTCAAGGGAAGCTGGTCATTTCAAGGTACAAAGCCTGTAAGTACTCTTTTCTCCTCCCATTTAAAAATTCCTTCAAGGAATTCTGTTTTCAAATTCCTTTTATTTACATGGGGGGAGGATGTTTGGATACATTTTTACTTGCTTCTCCACCTTCACAACATGTCTTTAATACAAACTGCCCAAGTCTACTACAAAACTCCTCTTGCTGTTTCAAAACATTTCAATAGGAACATATACAATGTTTTCATTGCACTTTCCTCTACAACACTTGAAGCAAGCGTTCAGCTGCTATTTTTCCTTGATGTGACCTACATAGAGATAACAGTTACAACAGCTGTGGCTGATGAAAACAATGGAGCTGTTTCATCAAATAGACGCTTCTTAAACATTAGATCTGTTTTAATTGGCCTGATTATCTCTTTAAACCAATATTCGTGATAAATACCAACCCTCCTATCCATCCACCACTACTCAAAATCTATTTAGAAACCAAGTCTTTCTGCAATCTGGCTTCAAAGCAAAATAACAGAACAAAACATAAACAGAACATACACAACACAAATCAACAAATCCATAATGTGGGAAAATAACAAGCGAGTGACCATGCCTGCATGACAAGTCGTTGCAGTACAACTGACCGACAGAAGTTGCTACAGGTAAACGGGCATCACACACCTCTTGCAATTGCCAAGTCAGGCACCTCCGAAGGCAATTCAAGCTAAGGCAGTCCAACAGTGTGACTGACGAGCAAAAATGAACAAATACAGATGCTTACCAGTAACAAACTGAAAGGCAGGAAAGACAGCACTGACTTTGGGAGCAGTGCAGGGGACGGGGGTATCTTAAGAGACAAGTCCTACCGCTGCAATTACAACTGAAAAAGTAAATTACAGAGTGAGAACACATACCTTTGAATTGGATACCTCACGGGAGAAAATTGCTATATATAAAAGAAAGGAAGGGGAAAAAAAGAAAAAAAAAAGAGGGAAGGTCTTACACATAAGGAAGTCCTAAGATGAATTTTTATTGTGTTCCATCTCAGTTTTTCAGGAAAAAACTTCAGAACTGTTGTTAAACTGCAAAATAAGGATTACTGCTGAAGTGTAACTTGAAGATCGATCTTACAGTCCTGCTGACATCTTTCTATGTATTTGAAATTAAAGTTTTGAGAAAGGAAAATAAAAACTGCAAAGAAACATCTTCTAACAGACACCATGAGAAAACAAAACTAGCAAGCAGCAGAAAGAGCCACTGGAAGAACAAAGGACACCATTAACCTCACAAAATTCCCTGACAGAGTTCTAACTGAAGCTTTTTATACAGGTAGGATATCCAAAAAAGTGAGAAAGAGTGAGACCCAACTAGCTTCTTTGGCACCTAGGCATACAGCTGACCTTTTTGTTCTGTTTTGGTCAGCCTTTTCCTCACAAAGCACTTCATGGGATCTCTCCCATGCAGAGCTGTCTTTTCCCAAAAACTCACACAAACACAACTGACCTCAGGGGCTTCACCTACTTTTTATGTTTCATTGAAAGCATTCAACAAGCTCAGACAGTATTAAGAACAGACACGCAGCACAACTGTGCATATTCCCTTTGGAAGACAATCTTAGCTGGTAACTTCACACAAATGTAAAAGAACTACTCACACTTTTGCTTCTAGTAATTCAAAAGGATTCCTCGGTAGGAGAATGACTGAATTAACGTGTTACAAATGCAAACCTCAGAAAGCCTAAGATGTTCAAGTTAGCTAATTTTAGTGAATGAAAACATTTTTAATTGAAATAAATTCCCCTGCACTGTTGCCCACAAGAAACCTAAAGCACGACGCCGCAAAAATGAATTCACTTTCTTTACACCTACCGTTGGTTAAACAGCTTAGGTAAGCAAAGCTGGCATGTAATGGTACACAAAGCCTTCTGTATGCTCTTATCCTATGGTAGTATCTTTTATAACTACTGCAAAAACTTAGTAATTAATGTTGACAAGTCTGCACCTATTATTGTGTCACTCACCAAATTCTTAAAATAAATAAATTCTACAGCATAACTTAAGAGTGTAATGGAGTTCCATTCCTTCTCCCTACCCCAAGGAAGGGTTCACACCTGAACTCGTTAAGATTTTCCAATATACTGTTATAGCAATTTTCATCATTTACTTTCATACAAGTAGGCTTTAATATTACTCTTCCACAAACTATTCTAAATAATAAAAGAACAATACAGTTCCAGATAAAACTAACCAAATTTTTCTCCCTAATTTTCAGAGCGAGTTTAGATGTCCAATACAGCCAGTTGGAATATATCAGAAAGTTCAGTATCCAGGAGAGAAATTTCTCACAACCTCAAGGCACCTGAAAGGGTCAGTAAACAACTGCTACGGCTCTGTCTTGACCTTGCTTACACAGCCTGATGTATTATAATGTTTTTGGAGCTGAACAGTTAACTCGATCTCAGAAGATGTGTTTTATGTAAGAACACAAATAACATCAGATTTGATCCTTACTCAGTAGATAAACCAAGACAAAAAATAAGGTAGAGCACACATATTTGTCCCTTTCATTTCGCACAGTCTACCAGTAGGTCAAAACAACTTCCTCTAACAGGGGTGGTTTGCAGACAGGGGGTGGTTTGCAGACAGGTAAAGAAGCAGATGTGAAAACTGACCAAAACTGGAGATGGCGGGACAGACCTCACAGTGTAGAAATGAGGCCACAGCAGCGATGGCAAGGACAGAGCACATGAACATAGAAGTAGAAGCTGAGATCTATGAGATAAGTGCTAG